GGTATTCTTTTTTTACCTTGACTGGATTCCATGGATTACACGTAACAATCATAGGAGGCCCTCGAGTTAGGTTATTCCTATTTCGTTGACATTATGACTGAGGAAGTTTTAAAAAATCTCTCAAAATATCACCATAAAAAGGACTATTTTTGCAAACCTGAAGTACAAATCAGCAGTGTAACTCTGGAAATGGATCATTACAAAGGATTTCAATGATTTGCAACTGCAATACGGAAAAAAAAAATGTCTATGATTTTGAGAAATCTAGGTTCGCACCCACCCTGAAATTTAAAAGTCTCGGAAGACATATTTTGCACTGATGCATCATTGTAATCGGTCTCAAAGACGTGCGTTGATGACGGCGCAAAGATACAACTATTCGTGCTTGATGGATGTCCGTGTTGCATCTGCGAAATTGAAGGCGCGATGGCGTGAAGCGTGAACTCGAAATGTTCCGCTGTATGCTGCCGATGAGGTGTCGCTCAAATTCGGGACAGGGTTCGATTAGGTCTCTCCTATTTTCGGCTGTGTTGCTCACTTAGCCCTTGAAGCACTACTACAAATATGACAAACGGAAACAAAAACAATATGGAAACAGAGCAAGTGGGAGGACCTGCGTTGATGACGGCGTAGAGATACAACTATTCGAGCATGATGGATGTTCGAGTTGCATCTGCAAAATTGAAGGCGCAATGGCGCCAGCACGAGGCGTGAACTCGAATGCTCCGCTCTATGCTGTCAATGAGGTGTCGGTGTCGCTTGGATTCGGGGGAACTGATAAAAAACGAGAACCGAATACATCTACCCTATCTTCGGCTATGTTGACACTCAATTTTTTCCTTTTTTTCAATTTGACGTCTGATTGTTTTTACGATGTACTTGTAGACCTAATACATATATCTAAAACTCGAATGCACCGGCCCCCATGAAACCCACGACGCATGTATTTTTAACAAGCCTCGGGTCGATTTGATCCGGCTCATGCGTCTAGTAGTCAACTTTGAAAACAGACCTAAGCAAGGGATTGCAATGATTTACCAATGCAAAAATATACAATATGGAAGAAAAATGTCGTGACTCTGAAAATTTAAAACGTAAAAATCTACAATAAAATTTTAGAACTTTTTTTTTGTATTTTTAAATTTTTATGAGGAAAATCATCAAAATCCCTTGAAACGATCTTTTTTCAAAGTTATACTGTTGAATTTTAGTGGAGATTCATGAAAATGATTGACCTTTTTATGATATTATTGTATGATGGGAATCTTGTCGTACCTCCTTTAATGAGACTGCAAACCATATGGAGTCTCGTAAAAAATTTAGCTGTTTAAGGAATGACTATGAGTGCGCTGACTATGAGTGCGCTGACTATGAGTGCGCTGACTATGAGTGCGCTGTCATGCTGAGGAAAAACACCATATGAAAATTCAAGAGTTGCCACATTTTCCTAGATACAACATTTGGACTGCGTTAAACAGAATGGAACCAAGCCACATCATCTATTTCCACATTTAATCGAGCAATTTAATTGTTTACATGAAAACGGATTTGCGGATTTTCGTGCAAATTTCAGTGAATTTTCTCCATTGTACAAAGCAAATTCCTTCAAAGTTGCCAAGGAATCCGCACTATCGTTCTCTCGTAAAATATTAAATTGCCCAGTTAAATTTGGCAATAGCTGATGTGCCTTGGTTCTTTTCTGTTAAACGCGGTCCAATTATTTCTGTGAAAAGCTATGCATATTTTTCCTCGAATGTTCCAGAATTCGACACTTAATTGCAGACGAAACCGTTTGCAAAATTTTAAGATAACTAGAGAACATAATTTTTCAGTAAATTGGATTTTTACTGAAGGAAAAACAGCAACATTTGGAGACTGAAACGGGGTCCTTCCTTAGTATAGGAGCCATAGCTCTGAACCTCACTACTAAACATGTTTAATGATGCGTCTTGATAAACACGCACCGTTGAACCCTTCACACCCTGACCTAATTAAAAGCACATGATCCCTTGTTTATCAGATAACCTTTTTCGGACCTGTGAAAGGGGGCTGATGAGGGGGCTCTTAATGCTCCTTTTAATCGTGCAGAAAATAGGCGCGAGACTGCGGGTAATGTTGATTTTCGAGCGATTAGCACTGCGCCAACAAATCACACGGCCGTGGAGGGAGGGCGGGGGAGGAGGTGCTTCACGCGCCCCTTGGGAGCCCGGAGAAGCGGAGGGCGGCCCTCTTTATTAAGCCGTGAAATCTGAGAATGTCAACAGAGTAATCAGCATTTAATTGGGGGGTGCATTCGTGGCGACGTTGCCAAATCGCGCACTTGCTCGCATATGGGTCGCGGTGTTCAGGGGTAGTTCTTTGCCGTACTCAGGAGGAGCATAGAACGAGAAGTAACGGAGGCAGATATGCACGGGGTGAGAAGGGAGGGAGGGAGAGGAGGATAGGAGAGAGAGATAGAGGTAAAAGTTGTTTAATATTTCGTTGCACCCTTCACAACTCTATGATTTTTACCTAATTTTATCAAACCTTTAATTTATGATTAATTAACGTACTTCCACTCGGTATGACACCATGAATCAATTTTTACTTGTCCATTTAATGAGTATTACATGGAATGCATTTTGCAAAAAGAAACCAAGAGCATTCCAATGTCACTAAGGTTGTGCAACTTTGTTTGCCATGCAAATATACGCAGATTATCTGAACTTTAATTTTATTTTTCTCCCAGTAAACTATAACTTAAAGATGAAAATTACCTTTGTCAATTAAATTTTTTGCATGATTTCAGTAATTTTATTAAATTCATGTATGATACACGATCTTAACAAAATTGGAATGCTCTTGGTTCCTTTTTGCAAAATACAATCCACATATAACTAATTTTATAAAATCTTACAAATGTTACGGAACTCATTAAATTAAAGAACACAAAGGTTTTATGCGAGTGAAGAAGGTCAGGATTTGTCTTTTTCTTCTTCTTTTTCTTGAAGAATCAATGTAAGGGTGGCAAAATTTTATGAAAAATAAAATCTTGAAATTTCTCTTGAAATATTTCGTGAAATTTCAGAAATTTATGAAAGGTATTGAAAAATATCGGCTCCGTTTCATGTTTCGTAAAATTTAACGAATGTGACTTTCCTCTAATTTTGTGTGTTTGAGTGCGGGTTACATACTCTAGCCCCTGAAAAATATGAAATGTTTTAAAGCCTCGTGAAATTTCATGAAGTATTTCATTAAAATTTCCAATTTTTCATTTCTTTCTTACGTTTTATGCCACCCTGATCGATGTTTTGAAGTAATGGATTTGAAATGGGCAAGCCCACGATAGGAGCGAGATGAAGAAGGTCGGAAGAGAAGAGCCTAAGACGAGAGTGTTTCGGGAGCCACGGGGCGGGAAGCATGTGGCGCGGCACTTGAGCGGATTACAAAACAACCTCCACGGGGCGGCTATTATTCTCCAATTTCCCGGACAAATTTCATTTTCCCATCGGCGGCACCCGCTCGCGCTTCCGAGGAAACTCTAATAGGGACTTAAGGTCTTTACGCCGGCTCGCCGCCGAGTAATTCGATAGACGCGAATCAACGCGCGTCACGACTCCACGTTGCCAGATATCCTCTAAAAAAGTGCATTTTAACAGGAGAAAAACAAGGGGAAAAACGCGAAACAAAGCTAAAATACAACTATATAAAAATCAAGACGTCTCGACGCAAAACTGAGTCATTTTAGTTGGAAAATAAATTCAAAATTAAAAAGTATCGACTTAAAAACCTGAGATTTTGGTGGCCGAGATCTGAGAAAAACAAACGGGTAAAAATGTTTCAAACGGTGAGTAGAGGGCATCCGTGAGGAGATGGAGAGATGCCAGCTTCCGGAGGATCTCTATTATGACAGATTCCTGTGGCGGGTAGGTGTCGCAAAGCGCCCTAGCGCGCCGTAGAAATAAATCATTAGAAAGCGTTGTAATTCGTAATCCTTTGAAGATTAATGCGAAAAAATTTGAGTGATAATCATTTCTACTAAAAATATGACCGAAAAATGTGTTGTCTGTTACGGCGACAAAACTATCCCAGCCATCGTAAAACCACCCACAAAATACCGGTTGCTTTTTCTTACCGTGCGCGATCCGAGTCTTTTAAATAAGGGTCAACTACCTCAATAAGCGCATTTGCGAGGAATGTCTTAGTTTTCAGCTCAATTTGCGTGGCAACCATGCTGCAATTCATGGGGGTGGGCGGAGGGTTGGTGTGGGAGGGTGGGGGCACGCGGCCTGTCCCAGGGTTCGCGGAAAGCTACCGCTCGGTTATCCGTCTTAATTAGAAATAATACAGCCGCGTTGGGAGGAAGCCGCGTATGTGAATAAAATTTCCGCGGGAGATAGGTGGTTTTGACTTAGCGCGGAGGAGAATGGCGTCCGACGGCGAGGAATCTGCGCGTAACCAAGTTAACAGTCCGTTTACGGAGCCGGCAAGGCCTCAAGGTTCACATTGGATTAGAGGAGGTTTGATGAGGTCTCTGGTTTGGCGTCAAAGAGAGGAGGAGTTTGACTTCGTTTTCCAATAAGGAACTACAAAACCGGACTTGTCCGTAAACACACTTATCTCCACGGGAAAACTAATTGTTCATACGCTGTTTGTGAACTGAGCCAGAAATTGCAGTTCCGAATTGTAAAATTTAGCGCAGATTTTAAAAACTCACGAGCTGGAGTTGAGGCAGAGCCTCAGTTTCTAGATCCACACATCACCACCGTAAAAATAAGGCCACGATTTCAGCTATTTTGAGCTCGCTCTTTGCACCGAAAAAAAGAAATCCTAGATTTGCCGCCAAGAGAGATTTTTTCTTGAATTAAGAATGATGCTGCTTAATTCGTCGATTTCCGCATGAAGGAACGTAACTCTATTTCAAGGTTGCCAAACTGACTCAAACTATCAAAAAAAGTTTCTTGATTTTTCTGTTATGCGTGAGAGATATTAGGAGAATACATTAAAGCAATGAAGCACTATCACAGTTGCAGGTATGTTTTTTATTCAACAGGAAACAAAATTATGAGAATCAGATTTTATTCAAAATCACAAAAACTGATTATGATAACTAAAATACAGCAATACTTCGTAAAGGGTTGAAAGTATCTCAGGGTAACTAAGGACTTGGGTGCGGAAAAAGCATTTACCTGCTTTCAGAATCGCCTTTGAGGAACGTTTTTTTTTGCAGGAGCACTACGCGACGCGTTAATGGAGTTTGAGATTTGTGCTGAAAATATTATTTGGGAAGGAATAATTTCCATCCCTTTCCAAGCCCGCTTTCCCAGAGGGAGTAAAAATGTAAAAGAAAATTGGACCACATTTTGCATTTGGGAACTACGATTTATAGCTCATTAGAGATACAACATTCGTGTTAGTTTCTCTATGTAGATAGGTTTTTTATGTGTGAGCCACAAACTGTGATTTCTTATTGAAAAATGTAGTCCAATTTTAAAAGACTGAAACTGAGAAGCGCTCTTTTCGCATCAAAGTCCTCAATTTCATGCAAGTTGAAAGTTTGTTCTTTATTTGACGCGGTGGCAATTCGCTCTGGAACCGGCAATAACTTCTGTGATCTCAGCTTCCGTAGATCATCCCTGATTTGCGGAGCTTTTTTCGTGTTCATTTCGGGAACATCTCGTCGAAAGGCTCCATCTGAGTGATAGCGTTGGCAATCGGAATCGCCGTTTTTCCGAACTCGGAGCTGATGTAAGGTTGGAATTCCTTGTTCATCAATTTCCAGTTGTCGTTGAGCACTTTGTTCGTCGCCTCACCTTGACAAGAAACGCATGTCAATCAGCCAAGGAAAACGCACTTAATGAGGGAACACATTGAAGAAGATGCTATCTCAACTCGTTATTTTTGCTTCGTTGAGGAAAAACGACGCATGAACATTCGGTATTTGCCACATTTCTTTTGGTAAAAATTATATTTTTAGGAAACTAATGAATATTTGGACAACTTTAACCACCAGAATCAGCCTATGATTGAATGAGGAACTAGACAAGTGAAGTATGTAAGTCCTAGAATATGGATTTTTCATTTTCAATACATTTTCCGTTTAAATGTACAATTTCTAATCGGTTATAACGGAAAAAAAGATTCTTCAGCCTCTCTTGAAAATCCTAAATTTCATTCCTCAAGTAACTATCTCAGAAGATGTTCCGCGCCTCTAAATAATTAACAAAACGTGCTCGCCTTCACTTTGTACGGTTAGGCAACTATTTTGACGTGAAGGAGCTGGTTTTGCCTAACCACTAAATTGAAGGTGAAAAACGCTCCGTCGGTTCAATTGAGCAACAGAACGCAATTTTTTTCGTTTTGAACGGTTACACTAACTATAGTTATTTTAGTATTTTTAGTATTTTTTCTTTGAAGTGGCTCAGTTTGTGACTGATTACAAGGAACATTACATACCTAATTTTTTGTCACCGTTGAAGAGACCAGTGTACTCAAATTTCGCCTTAGTTGGGTTAAACACTACTTCAAAAACATTGACTTCCCAATACGTTTTGCCATCCTTCATGAGCGGTTTGCCTTTCAGAATTATGTCCAGTTTCAGTCCAGCTAAAAAAAAATGTCCAGTATAAATCAGTCGAGAATGATAAAAGTTAGCAATATTAATCAGCATGCAGTCGATTTTCTCATTCTAAAACCGCTGAAATAATATTTGAGAGTTAAATTTAACTCGAGAGACGAATAAAGAGGAAACTGGAGACACCATTCCGTTTTTCATAATAATGAACATAAAAGTAAACAATTAGATCTTTGCGTCTAGACAACGGAGAGGCCACCAATGAGAGCAGTAATGAGCAAATATTCAAATTTGATTTTCTTTCAAAATTAGAATAATTTAAATGTGCCCATGGATTCGACTAAAATAGCCGAATTCTTATTATATGTTAAAATGAGAGTTTTGAGCAAGCTCCACGTGTGCAAAAATTGATGGCATTTTAAGCAAAACAATAGTAAGTCCATCATTCCACTAGAAAGCGGTATCTGCAGCTATCTAGTGAAAACTGGCATCTCATTCTGCCAATAAACCGTAGTATTTGTTGGCTAGGCAACTATTTTGCTGTGAAGGAGCTGGCTTTGCCTATCCACTAAATAGAGGGCGACAAACAACCCGTAACGTACATTGAAATTTTCGGTCAAGCTGTAGGTTGGAGCACACTCTGGTGAGCATATCATCAAAGCCCTCACGCACATAAAATGAAGGAATAAGTTATCGTGTAGAATTCTGCAACGCTGCAGTTAAGCCCCTTTGGTTTTAAGAACGTAATTTGTACTCACATAAATGCATTTTGGCGTCCCCTTTTCCTTTGATTGGTATCGATAACATTTGCCCCTTCATTGTGTACTTGCTTGTGATGTTCATTATAGGAATCGTTAGCCTCATCTTCAACACCATATTCTTCAAATTTGATGCGCTGTAACAATAAAACTTATATCTAGGATGGGAAACAAACATATACATGCAAGAGGATACAACACATCACCCCTGTGACACCTGAGGGGTTTTACTCCTTTTTAAAAGAGGACCCTTAAGGTTTTTAGGGGTCCTACAAGTCATTTTCTTTGACCTGGGAGCACTCACAAAATTTCAAGTCTCTACCTTAATTTGTTCAAAAGTCCTGACATTGCTTTGGCATTGCAGTCGCTTGAGGCGTCGTGCCACTTTGTGGGCCAGCGCCTACAAACCTAAGGTGATACTTCAAGCATGGCGCAGTGCGTGAAGTATCCCCTTCAGTGGCGTGGCGTGACTATATCCGGTAGGCGTTCGGTAGGAGTGTTAACTTTAGGGGGAGGGAGTCAGAAAGATTCACTCCCCTTCCTTAAAGGGGGGTTCGGGGGGCCTCCCCCGGAAACTTTTTAAAAAATGAAGCCGCAAGAACACGATTTTAACCCTTTCTGGTGAAAATTGTGCCGGTAAATTGTCATTGAAATTTTGTTATTTTTACCGATCGTTTTTCTGTAATTTATTTTGTTAAATGATAACGTATTTCCGCAACACGCACCTGCAGAGAGAGGTGGGAGAGGGAGACTGGGAAACTGGGAGATGCGGCCCGCAGGCGCAGGGCGAAAGTGGAGGGCGCATCGCGGTATAGAGGAAATTCGGCGGTTCGCAAACCCCTGCGGACCACTGCTACAGGAAACAGCTGGACTGATGAGCGGCTCTCCTCTCCCCCTCCCTTTTCTCTCTGCTGTGTTCCCTCCACGAGCGCGGTCCGCACTCGTCTCCGAACCCAATGCTCTCACGCTCCGCTCTGCGCCGCGCGCCGGTGCCTCTCCTCTCTCGTGTACCCTTTGCCCCTTCATCATTGCACCCAGGTTCTCTCTCCTCACCGTACGCAGATCATCCAAGTTCGGTAGCCGGTGCGGACCACGCGTCACAGGATTTTCTCCCTCCGCCGCGCCACATGCCGCTGTCGGAAGCCAAGCGCCCGATACTTATTTGCGATCTACTATTCTGTATTCTGTATTCTGTATTCTGTATTGCTTCCCACATTCTTAGCCATAATTTATTAATTGTTTCAAAATATTTTAGGGTGTTCGGCGAACACTGCGAACCCATGGACGCCACGCCACTGATCCCCTTAGGTTTGTAGGCGCCAGTGCGGCAGTGCGCGTTTCGCGCCGGCAACACGCCGCTCCGCTCCGTGTTAGGCTCTAACATTTTAACTCGCGGAGTCACCGTTTTTCAACTCATGATTTTGGAACGTTTGCACTCCCTGCATGGATTATTCTCATTTAAATTGATGTCATTGGTGAATTGTAATTGTAATTTGAGTCATTGGTGATGAACTAGTGCTAATTGTGCGGAAATATTGGATCACCCTGTCTCTCCGACTCTCAAATTTTAATAGTTTGTCCTAGCTCGTGCTAGAGATTTACTGCGGCAAATTAAATGCTGTTGGCTGACATTGACAGGTAACAGGAACAGGCGTTGGGGGTCTGAATTAGTCCAGGGACTTTTTTGTTTACTGAATTCTCATTATATCTTATTAAGATTATTCCGTACAAATGGAAGGAAATAACGCTCTACTGTTTTCAGTAAAAGGAAAGAACCAAACGGAAGGGTGAGTTTCATCACCGAAAAGCAAATTACAGATTGCATTTCTGTGGTAGTGATGAGGAAGGCCGTATGCAAATTTGGACGTAGCCAAATTTCTTTGGACAAAATATGAGTTTCCTTAAATTACTTTGAATAATGTGATGTGATTGTAAGAGACAATTATAAGAAAACGTCCAAAACTATTAATATAATTAATTGTTTCAAAGGGGAATATTTGGCTGTGTTTAAATCCTCATGCGGTAAAGCTGCCTGTTACAGCAATTTATTTTGAGAGGAAAATTAAGTATACTTAAGGGGAATCCCCCCCCCCCTTATCAGACCTCCTGGCCGCCATGTGACTCAATCCTCCATTGGTACTCCACTTTGCAGACAAAAACCTCTAAGAATTACAGAGTGTGCCTATAAAAAATGCCTTACTCTACAACTAGATCGGAGTATTCAGAGATATGGGTACACGTGGTGTCTTCCATGGTCATCTCCATGTTGACCGGACCTTTACCTCCAGATTTCAGGACCATCTTATTTATGTGAAACGGCTCCCATGGCGGAATCCCATGCTCTGTGTTTCCTGAAAAATGCAGAGTCCCGCAGAGTATTAGTATAGGGAAATAGTTTCTCGTAAGAGACTTAAACTTACCGAGACTATTGCCAAATTTCAAAAAGTTGCATTTCGTCACATTGAAACAGCGATTAAATTGATGAAGTCGTTGTCAACGTCAAGTATCGACGTCATTTCATCCACAGACTAATGATGTCAGCGAGAAATTCAGATTGATGACGTTTTTCATTTTATAGACCTCACTTTTTAAGTTGCGCAAAGCGTCTGAATTGAAAGATTGTTGAAACCGAATGACACAAAATATAAAGACTTTTGTCTATTTTTGCCTATTTTTTTTCTTATTACCAGAATTGTAACCTAAAATTCTTGAAACCAACTGTTCCGATTACATGGAAACTTAAAATTAAACAATTTTGAAGTTAGAGGTCTTTAACTAAAATTTGCAGATGCGCATGTGCCTTGAACTAGCGCCGATTTTTTGTTTCAAATATCAGCACGTTCCCTTTATTTAGTAATTTTTGTTTTCAGTTTCTAATGGTTCACCATTGGTCAATGCAATTGCGGAAAATATATCGTTCAATTTTTTAAAAAAAAAAAAAATTGTTCGTCTTTAAAAATCGTACATACCTGGTCTTAGATCCACAACCATGTTTTTACATGCTTTACTTAAGCATTCATTCAGATTTGGGTCACTAATTTTGCATCGGCCCCATTTATCTAGAATAAAAGGTAAAATTTATTGAATATATCCTTAGACATGTATTTTCATTAGTAAAAGTAAAATTGTTAGCATCAGTATAGTATCATAATGATGCTCCGCAAAAGTTAGGGACACATTTCATGTGCTTGATTTTAGTTGAACTTTTATTTGAATCAAATTAACTATACAGGATTCTACTTGATTCGACACTGTTACGTATCTCGGAGTGACACCGGAGTGAATTTCTCGCCAGAGCTTATTTTGCCCTTCACATTCATCATACCAGTTGTGTGGGAGGAATACAAGCTCTCGAATGAAACGCACCTCGGATTTCACTCCGGGATTTTTGACAGTGTGAAATTACTTTAGTGGGTCACTAAACTATGAAAGAATTTTTGCTTGCGAGTACATTTTGATATAGGCAAATGCTGCGTAGAACACAATGCGCACAATAAAACGCGAAAATGTAACTCAGACACCGAGAAATACCCTGTTGAAAAAACGCAACTTTTCCGTAAATTTCGAACGCCCCGATTTCGTGCCGAACCAAATGATGTCATCCGGCACCAATCAAAAGCGAGCACGGGTTTCTATGACTTCTGTCAAATAAGTTTTTTCCACACCTTGTATATGAAAACCGTAGGAAAGTCGAAACTATGTACTTTAGAATCAAAGAATCGATCTTAATCATATTATCTGTGGTTATAATAACAACAATTCCACCTTGAAATACGTTTTATTTTAAGAAACATCAGTAAGAGATGAAAGGTTATATCGATTTGACTGCCGTGGCACTTCACTGCCATCCTCTTCCCGCCACCCCGGAGCGTTTGAAACCCCTTTGAGTTTTTGGACCTTTTAAAAACGGGCCTGTTCCAGACTTCGGTTCCAAAAATACAGAATAAATCACCGCGTAATCTACTCACCTGGTACTTTCAGAGTATTGAATAAACAACACAAGGCTTATTGGCCCATTGACATTAATTTCTTTCCTTCGCTTTCAAATTCGCCGTAAGTCCTCGTCCTATACGAATCATTTGACTCGAGTCCTCATCAACACGGGAGCAGAATATCATTCGGATTGCATTTTGCAAAAAGGAACCAAAATCATTGCAATGTTGCAAAAATTGTGCAACTTCTTTTGTCTTGGAAGAAAAACCTGATCATCTTTAAACGGTTTCTATTTTACACCCTAAAAACTGTAAATTTCAGAAGCAAATCATCATGTAAATTCCACATTTTTGCGTGATTTTAGTACTTTTATCGAAAAGTATGAATTTGCAAAATCTTAGCAACATTGCAATGCAAGTCCCATGGTTCCTTTTTGCAAAATGCAATCCATTTATTTCAACAGTGAAAAAAGTTTAAATACGTGACGTTCAAAGCACGTAACGCAACTTACCAATCAAAGATGTGGCCGCGGATGCGGAGCAAATGCAAGCAAACAAAAACGCGACGTTGATCTTCATCGCGGAAAGCTCGGAGAACTGAGCTCCAGGCAGCAAAAGGAAATCCTCCTTGTCGTATGCACTTGAAAAATATTTCTCTACCTCTGACCTTGCCGCCACTGCAAGGGAAATTCAATAACTTTTATTAATAATTATTATTTTTGGTCGTGCGTGTGCGTTTAATGCCTGGAGATTAGCATTCTCGCGACGAATGTGTATTATAATGATGCGTCGACGGTTTCCACGATTTGCATTAGCTGTAAACGAGACCCGGTTGGGGGGGGGGGGGGAGGGGTCAGGATTGTGCAGAAAAACGTGCATTTTTCCTGTTGTCTGCACCTCTCTTCGGCTATAGAGTACTTTCATATTCTGGAAAACATTTTTTTGGTCTTATCGTTGTTTCCTGGACGAAATATCTTATAACTGCAGTTCAACATTGCGAAAATTCGAATTGCAACTTGAATTTTTATTTGGCAACAACCAACTCCCACTCGGAGTGTCCGTCATTTTTTTCTACCTACAGGTCTTTAAAGGACACAGTGTCCGCACATTGAGAAAAATATTTTCAATCTCGTGTTGCTCTCAATAAATATCGGAAGTGAAACTTAAACCTAATCAAATTTTGCGCTGATTTTGGTACAGTTTGCGTTGAATCAAGCAACAAAAAATAAATAAATAAAACTAATGGAAAACCCGGAAAATCCCAGTATCATCTAAAGGCTTAGGTTATACTATTGGGTCACTTGCCTCAACTAAACGTATGGGTTAGTTTTTCTCTCTTTAAGAGGGTACTCTTCTCTGCCCTCTTGATAACGAAAAATGCCGTTTGGACATTTCGACGGTGCTAAATTATTTTATATTAAACACTAATCTCCCAGGAAAATTCGATTTTACCCGCGTCTTTTTGTGCAAAAAACAGTTAAAACTCAAATGTTTTTCGTTTGTGACAGGGGAAAGCCTCTACGATGCTTCCATAGCAGGAAAATTACTGGAGCAACTTATATATTTTTCTCAACAATCGTTGATGCAAAATAACATAAAGAGGCTACAAAAGAATAATGAAGAGGGAAGCATACATTATGAGATTTTTAGTTCCACAATTCTGAATCTACAATTCAAAATTAATGTCTGAGACGAGGTGTGTGAAAGTTTCCAAGAATAAGCATTCCTTTCTATCTTTTACAGCTAAAAAAATGTAGTCAGGCTCACGGCCCTTTCATGTTATTACGTTCAATTTGTTTTCAGTCAGTGAAACTTGCAAAATCACACCCCCCTTATCCTCCCCCTTTTACAACCGAGCTAAGCTTTTGAAAATTATCCCGTTCCTGGTTTTCGGAGAATCTGCTTGACTCCGAACCGCAGGGTTGTCAAGATGTGAAAATATTAGCACATTTTGAGTTAGAAAAATCTGCAGAGTTTCAACGGGACACAATACCCTAGCTCTTAAGAGTTGAGACTTGAAATGTTGATACAACCAGATGTATTGCAATTTACTGCGGGGTAGTAATAAAACTCACATCAAAAACCACGCAGGGTAGGCTGGAAGTATAATATATTCCTCTCTTGAAAAGACGAATTCCTCTAGGTCGGGTATATTTATTATGAACCCTAAGAGCCCCAGGAAAGGCATAAAATTATATAATTCAATCAGAGAGCGGACTGGATGTGACAATATTCTCCCCTAATTTAGCAATTCTGAAGCCCGTGTCACACAATTCATATTTTCGCCAATATCACAAGGTTACGCAGTCATTACAAACCGGATATGACGTCATGATCAGTTATATTTTCTGGCCCGCTGCATATTGACGGTGCTGGGCTGACGTGCTGTCATTTCCGGTTTATATCGACCGCGTGACCTCAAGATATTGACCAAATCATAATGGTGGGACTAGCAATCATATTTTTCCCGCCAAAAACTAAAAGTCAAAAAAAAGAAATCAGTTTGTGAAGAGAGGGGTTAAAGTCTATTTTCTACATCGAGCCTTGAGCAGGAATAAAACTTTAAACTTCTTCTTCTCAGTTTCAACTTAACGGTTCCTTCCTGATAAACTCGGTCCATTTAGGAACTTTACGGCCAGAAGGGGGCACTATTTTTTTAGGGTCAAAGGGGGAAAATGTGGCAAGTGTTGAGCGGGAGGTCGGGGCGTATTCCATTAGCCCCGAAATCAAGTCCCAATTATGAGGGAATATTGGCGCTCAAAGCCGGATAATTGCCTAAATGAAAGAGAAAAACTGAGTTGATTGTATTCGCGAGGAGCCCCGGCAGGGCGGGGAGAGGGGGAGGGGCGAAATTGAATCAAAGAATTCCTCCAACGCGGCCCGAACGCCGGGGGAGGGGGGTTTACATACCACGGCTGGATCGGGCTCTAACTCGATTTGCCCTTATCAAATCAAACGGAATCATTTCAGCACCGACTTTCACCCCCTCCCCCTCCCTGCTGTGTTCCCCCAGCAATTCGTAAAAGCCTCGCTTCTAGGCGGCCCGGTAGATAGCGCCCGATGCATTTCGTCATTCCTCTGACGTAGGGGCGTATCTGTATTTTCACGTGAGCCCTGAAAAGCGTGTGTTTATATGAAGAACAGGGCTCACGTGAAAATTGAGACGCGCTCTTACGTCAGAGGAACGACGATTTGAGTTCCCGTTTTAGTTTCAGGGGAAAAACTCGGGGACTCGGGAATTTTCGTGATCGAATGCGATAGTTTTGGGGAATTCAGGATTGCTGAGTGGTGCTGATGTCGGGTGGATTGAGTTGAAAGAAGCTTGGTTTTTTGATATATCAACATGAGTGAATTTTGTTCCGAGGTTTGGAGCGACGTTCCGTCCTATCCGAAACGAAGGAACGTACCTTATGTTCCGCCGTGCTGAGTAAGAACGCCGTATGGACCTCCGTGCACTGCCAAACTGCCGTTCAAAAAACTCAAAATTTCAGAAAAACTTGTAAATATTTTTCGTCTATATTCGTTTTTTTGGTAGTTATACTGCATGTTAAGGGTAGTTTTCGATGTCTAAAATTGGATATTCTCTCGTTTATCCTCGGGTCTAGGACTAGGGTAGTTTCTTATTTGAAATGTTCTATCTAAAATGTTGAAGTTTTAAGACAGGCTAAGGGTAGTTTTCAGTATACAAAGTTAAGTTTCCTCGCATTTTTTGCCGGAAAATACATAAAAATTAGCTAATTTTGCAAAATCTTTGCTGTATTTAAACTGTGAGCGTAAAAGCTGACGGAATTTTACCATTGAATATTTTATTGATTACACCATGAAAGATAACATTTCCAAAGGGGGAAAATAATTTAGCTTTCCGCGCAAACCTGAATTACAGCAAATACATTGATTTTGCTAAATTTGGGTGTTTTCGCTGGAAAAACCTGGGGAAACCCAACTATGGACTCCGATCACTACAATACCCTTGTCTTGTAATTCTACCTCAGAACTTAACCTGTAGTCCTCAAATAATTGCTCACGCCATAAGGATGTCATGCGTGTGCGGCGATTCTGAGAGCCAAAACTGAGAAAGGCCCTTCCTATACTGCCGTGCTGAAGAAGAACGCCGTATGAACATTCGAGAGTTGCCAAATTTGTAAAATGTTCATTTTAGAGGTAAAGTATGAATATTTTTCCTTGAAATTTTCAAAAATGTTTAGATCAAATTACAAAAAAATTATCTGAGAAACTGATAGACAAATTTTCAACAATTTACCTGAAAAAATAGTGATTTGCCAGGGGAAATTTGGCAACGCCTGAAGGCTCATGCGGCGATTTTCCTTGCCTCGACAGTGTACTCAGTTTCTCATAAGTATAAAACGCTTCAGAACCTTACCCCGAGCTTTTCGAGGAGAGTCGGGAGAATATTCGACTCTTCGGCGTGAGGGGCGCGTGAAAGTTTGGTGGCAAAAAGTTCGGGGTTCGACGTCGTGGAAGTCGTGGTGAGGGGGGGTGAGGGGGTGTGAGGGGGGCACACTTGCGCTCGAGTCCGGAGCGATATCTCGGTAATTGTCAGTTTGCGGGGGTCGGCAGCTGAATCGGGGCTTGTTAGCGGCGCAACAATGGCGGCGTGGGAAGGGTGGAGGGTTGGAGGAGGGGCGGGGGTTGGATTCGCGGGGGTGCGGCACCGCGGAGTCGAATTTAAGGGAGCGAGGTGAGTGTGCGCACCACAAGTCCGCCAAAACCGCCTAAATTCCGATTGGAGGTGCGTAAGGTTGCGGGGTTCTTGCCCGTGCGCATGGTCCCGCGGGCCGGATGCAATCGCGTACCCCAAATTGAAATATTCGATGTGGATGGGCGGTTTTTGCGTGCTCGTCTTGATGCTTCAGTCTCGGAAATGTCCTTGCGTGGTTTTGAATATACGCGGCCGATAAAGCTTTTGGGGGCTAAAATCCGAAATCGCGTATCTCAGTTTTAACAGTAGAAAAACAAGGGGTAAAAACGAGAAACAAGGCTAAAATACATAATTAAAAAAAAACGAAACGTTTTGACTCAAAACTGAGTCATATTCAGTCTGAAATATTACAATGAAAATTAAAAAAAAAAAAAAAAAAAGATTTTGATCATTTTTCTTGGATCCCGGCCACCAGGGCTCATAGGTTTTTCACAGTTTTTTTTTTTTAATTTTTGTTAGAATATTTCCGACTGAAAATGACTCAGTTTTTTTCTGACTCAGTCTCGGTTTTTTTAAATTGTGTATTTTAGCCTTGTTTCCCGTTTTCCCCCTTATTTTTCTACTGTTACTACTGTCTATACAAATTTATATCTATGCATCTCAGTTTGCGATGTTGCAGACTTCTTGTCATACTTACTTATCGTACATACTTAATTTATCTGTGGAGAGCTCATCGGAGGAATTTTCCGCCTCTGATGATAAGCGATGTTACCATGCAAGGCTCGAACTCAGCATACAAGATCAAGTAAAAGCATGGTGCCTTCCAATGTCTCTGTATGCAACGCGGACAACTTATGAGCACGTTTAGTTGCATCAAGGCGTTGACCTTAAAATACATCGTATATTATTGGTGAAAGTCAATATACCACTTGTACTTAGACAACAATACAAAAACTTGTACTTTGTACAACTTGCACTTTGTACTTTGTACAATAGACATATTAC